AGCTGAATGTAATTTATTCTACTTTTTTTTTCTCCTGGTGGTTCGATACCTGGAAGTGGAATTTTTTTCTTTTTATATATTGTAAAGTAAATATTACATTTTGTTTGTAGTATATTTCATATATCAATGTGAATACGGTATCATATTTATAAAAAATATATTAAATTTATCTTAAACAAATTGAATATAATACTGCATATATTTACGTTTGAAATGTTAATATTTGAGGAGGGATGACGGGGGAATAGAGCTAGGCTTATCCTGTTTACCAAAATGGGTATATACATAATATATAATATGTGTATAAAATAACTTAAATATTCTCCATAAGAGGCTATGTATCTTTGGAAGTGAATGAAAAAAAAATATATCGTTCCTAAGGAAGCCTCGATTCAAAACATGTGCCTAGTTTATTTTCAAAAATCAAACCTAAAGTGTTCTTTTTTGATAAATTCACAAAATATTTTTACCTATCGAAATATGAAACAGGGAAACAGAGAGAGTAGGGTTTCTTTTCGAAAACCCGGGCAACGCGGGGTAACGTTGCTAGTATTAAATAAATATGAACTGTTGAATACTGTGATCACAGTAATCCTATTACAGTTTAGGAAAAATTTGTTAGTTCGTCCTCTAAATCCTCTCAGGCTCTTGCATTAAGACCTGTCAAATGTGGTTTAATCTTGTTAGTTCGTCCTCTAAATCCTCTCAGGCTCTTGCATTAAGACCTGTCAAATGTGTTTAATCTTGTTAGTTCGTCCTCTAAATCCTCTCAGGCTCTTGCATTAAGACCTGTCAAATGTGGTTTAATCTTGTTAGTTCGTCCTCTAAATCCTCTCAGGCTCTTGCATTAAGACCTGTCAAATGTGGTTTAATCAACTAGAAATTATTCGGATGTCAAGAAGAAGTTATTTTTCTTTTAAAATGAATAAATTTTGTAGCTCCAGTGCTGACTAAATATATATCAGTCAGAGGAGATGGCCATTAAGAGTACTTGAGAGATCCATCCAGTTTCCTCTTTCATTACAGTCTATGTACTTTCAACCATTGCTGGTATATTTAGGACAAAAACAGAAGCACTATTTATATTCATAACTGATAAAACATTAATTCTAAAATTGTGTTTCGTTTTCAAATTCCATCATTCATTTGAGGGATTTCTTTTTCCCACATTTTTTATACATATTTTCAAGATAAACACATTGATATTAAGTAAGATGTTTTAAGTGATATGTTACTTCTTGCTTTTTGATTAAAAACAACTCAAATAGAAAATAAAATGTTATTTAAATAAGCCAGCCCAGTGGACACGAATAATTTTATTGTCACGTGCTTTCAATCTTCATATTGCCACTGGAAATTAAAAAATTATTTTCCAAATCTTAGCAGTCATTGATATAAACACCTCATAACTA